ATGAAAGCTTTTCATTTTGATGAAAAGATCCTGCTGAAGAAGGTAAACATTAATAACATTCACAAGTAAGCTGAATTTTAAGAAAGATGGGTATCATATTTTTATTAACTTCGTATTGAATTGAGTGTATCTCCATCTTGACTATTTACTGTAATTATGTATTGATTAATGATCTGTGCACCTAAGACTAATAAACAAAGTTTAAATAATATATCTTTTTTATTATTATTCTTAGCAACATGTGCATATTATTTTCTGCATAATCATGAAATTATGTTGAATTGATAGTATCACTATGAACTAAAACTAATGAGGTATAAGATTCAGCCCACTGCTTAATGCACATTTTGGTGCATGAATGAGAGCATGGATGAGTGGATCCTTGATTTAAGCGCTTTGAGTGTCTAACAAAGGTAGAAAAGTGTTATATAGATGTAACCATTCTCTTTTATTAACTTGTTTTCTGAAAATACCACAAGATGTATGGAAAACAAATCACAACATCTGTAAACTGCACAGCAAACTAGGCAAGGAGAGAGGAGAGGAGACAAGGAGAGAGGAGAGGTGACAAGGAGAGAGGAGGAGACAAGGAGAGAGGAGAGGTGACAAGGAGAGAGGAGGAGACAAGGAGAGAGGAGGAGACAAGGAGAGGAGGAGACAAGGAGAGAGGAGAGAAAACAAGGAGAGTCAACAAGGAGGAGACAAGGAGAGAGGAGAGAAAACAAGGAGAGAGGAGAGGTGACAAGGAGAGAGGAGGAGACAAGGAGAGAGGAGGAGACAAGGAGAGAGGAGGAGACAAGGAGAGAGGAGGAGACAAGGAGAGGAGAGGTGACAAGGAGAGAGGAGGAGACAAGGAGAGAGGAGGAGACAAGGAGAGAGGAGGAGACAAGGAGAGAGGAGAGGTGACAAGGAGAGGAGAGGAGACAAGGAGAGGAGAGGAGACAAGGAGAGAGGAGAGGTGACAAGGAGAGAGGAGGAGACATGGAGAGAGGAGAGGTGACAAGGAGAGGAGCGGAGACAAGGAGAGAGGAGGAGACAAGGAGAGAGGAGAGGTGACAAGGAGAGAGGAGGAGACATGGAGAGAGGAGAGGTGACAAGGAGAGGAGCGGAGACAAGGAGAGAGGAGGAGACAAGGAGAGAGGAGAGGTGACAAGGAGAGAGGAGAGGTGACAAGGAGAGGAGACAAGGAGAGAGGAGAGGTGACAAGGAGAGAGGAGGAGACAAGGAGAGAGGAGGAGACAAGGAGAGAGGAGAGGTGACAAGGAGAGAGGAGAGGTGACAAGGAGAGAGGAGAGGTGACAAGGAGAGGAGAGGAGACATGGAGAGAGGAGGAGACAAGGAGAGAGGAGGAGACAAGGAGAGAGGGAGAGGAGACAAGGAGAGAGGAGAGGAGACAAGGAGAGAGGAGAGGAGACAAGGAGAGAGGAGAGGAGACAAGGAGAAAGGAGAGTGTTTGTTATGCTAATGCTAATTAGCATTAGCATTAGCATTAGTAGTAGACTAGTAGTAGTAGTAGTAGTAGTAGTGATAGTAGCAGTATCAGTAGCATTAGCATTAGCAGTAGACTACTAAAAAAACAGAAATTCCTTCTTAGTCATTTTCAAATACATTTAGAGTCCACTGACCACTGGATCTCTAATTTTACAATAATAATATAAATGGCAGCAGATTCGGCAGGATTCGATTGTCATGATTAGGATTTTAGGGAATCTGTTCCGAAGGTCGCGACAGGCACAAAGGCACACACCTCTACGGAATCGGCTCGGCCAGCTGAACGCAACGGTGTAAAGCTTTTGACCCTGCAATGTTCAGCCGCGAATTTTTTAAAAAATGCGCCTCGTTAAGTCTAATTACTCGGCCAAACGAGGTCGTACAACGATAACGGAGGTGTCCTTGGAAAGCCCTAGATGTGACGAGTCACATATATGAGCTGCAGCAAGGTGGCGCTGTCCTCCAACCAAAATCAGGACTTTCCTGGATTTTCCTGGCCACCGAGACCCTCCTCTTTTAAAAAGCGGGTGGCCGAGCCAGTTGAAACTTTGGATTAATGTTCAGCCTGTACGTAGAAGGGTGCGTACCAAGTTTCGACTAGTTTGGATGAAATTTGAACTTTTAACAAGCCTCCAAGCACTTTTTGGGCCTTCAAAAGCCTAACCTTAAAGGGGAGGTGTACCAACATTTCAACTTTGGACTACCAGCCTCATTTTTGACTATGTTACACAGCAGGCTATTCTGAGCTCGAATATGTAGGCGCCCGCTCAAACCGACCAATAGGAAGCAAAGTAGCCAACCGAGTGTCCGAGTGGGTTGAAACTTTAGATTCTCGGTCGGACGGGGTTGAAATGGGCGTGTGCCGAATTTGGACTCGTTTCCATTAAATTTGAAGCCGTGATGAGCTTAATTAGCGTGAGATTTTTTACCGAACGAAGGCCCGCCCACCGAGAACCGTAAGGCCCCCGGAGGTCTACCCTACACCGTTGGACTCGTCTCGTGGCCCTCTACCACATATCCAAAATTCAGGCGTCTAACCCCTTCGGAAGTCCGAGTGACCGTTTTTGGACCAGAAGCTAAAGACGGTCTCAGGACCGTATACCCTTACCCTACCCTAAAAAGCTAGGCGATCAAAGGCCAAAACCTGTTCCGAAGGTCGCACAGGCACAAATCAGACCTCTACGGAACCGGCTCGGCCAGCCGAACGCAACGGTGTACGGCTTTTGTCCCTGCCATGTTCCACCGCGGAGCTAGGGGGCGACAACCGTTTGAAACCGCTCACCTCGTTAAGTGTTATAACTCGGCCAAACGAGGTCGTAGAGCGATGATAGAGGTATTGTTGGAAAGCCCTTCATGTGACGAGTCACATATATGAGCTGCAGCAAGGTCCGCCAAAATTCAAAATTCATTCACCGATTGTAGGGCCGTTTCAAAAGATACAAAGTTATTAGTATTTTCCCAGGTATCGCAACGACACAGGCTATGACCTGTCGAAATTGTAGAGCTCTAGCAGCAACTTTGCGCAAAAGTGTGGGAATTAGAACTGGCCCCTATTTTTCCCGCTATCCCAGCGACACAGGCTATGACCTGTCCAAATGGTAGAGCTCTAGATCTAACTTTGCGCAAAACTTGGGAATAAGAACTTGCCCTTCATTGAGCGTGTCCAGCTGGTGTCAGAGACACCGCTGTGTGAGTGGAGACCCAAAAACCCATTAAGTTAGCATTAGCATTAGCATTAGCATCACCATTGACATCACCATTAACATTAGCTTTAACATTAACATTAGCATTAGCATTAGCATTAGCATTAGCATTAGCATCACCCTTTGACATCACCATTAACATTAGCTTTAACATTAACATTAGCATTAGCATTAGCATTAGCATCACCATTGACATCACCATTAACATTAGCTTTAACATTAACATTAGCATTAGCATTAGCATTAGCATTAGCATCACCATTGGCATCACCATTGACATCACCATTAACATTAGCATTAGCATTAGCATCACCATTGGCATCACCATTGGCATCACCATTGACATCACCATTAACATTAGCTTTAACATAACAATTAACGTTAGCATTAGCATTGGCATCACCATTAGCATTAGCATTAGCATCACCAGTAGACCAATAGTAGTAGTAGTAGTAGTGTAGTAGTAGTAATAGTAGCATTAGCGTGGACATTAGCATGGTTAGCATCTTTATCGGTAATATTGAATAACATATAAATGTGGAAGCTCCCTTATACTTCCAGATTTAATGGACGTACATATAAATCTGGAAGAAAAACTTGGAAGTAAGCGATTTCAATGCAAAGTCAATGGGAAAATCAGGATGATGAATTCAGGAGTAAAAAGTGCCTCTACTCAGCACTTTTTACTCCTGAATTCATCACATCTGAATCAATGAGCTCACGTTTTACATTCAATTACGTATTATAATACAACTTGAATGTAGTAACTTGGCGTGACGCTCGCTCTCCTCCAATCACACAACGAGGCTGCGTTAGCCTCTATAGCGCTAACACAGAGGCATGTTAGCATAGGTGGCTATAACTCCTCTGGCAGTAACTGCAGACACAGCAAAACAGCCCAAACCACACAACAGTGAGGAAGAGAAGAGGAACTAAAGCTCGAATATCTACGCTCGGACTATCTCTGTTCAAACTACGTTTGGACGGGAAACTAGCGGTAATCTTTCAGTGATATATTTTGTTACTTTTGTACCATTTTATTAGTGATTATTGTACAGCTTACAAGAACTTGCGCTCATGCTAATGTTAGCATACATACCAGATCGCAAATAAAACTAGACTGAGAGAGCGTAAGGGAAATGAGAAGCCTGTGAGCAAGTTGGGGGTGGTCCTAAACATTAAAACCTTGCAGAAACGCGTATAGTTCCTTTAATTCACCTGTTCCTCCAGCTCTAGGAGGCAACTTCTGTTGTGATTTTGGACTATTCAAAACCATTGATTGATTGAAAACTAAAAATGCAAGGAATCATGACAAACTGTGATTAACAAATCTTACAAATTCTTGAACAATAAAACCCAAAAATACCACTTTAGATCATTGCAAATAGTATTGATACAGGTACATAATTTTTTTATTCATTGTTACAGCTTTAGTTGAATGGAAGACCAAATTAGATTTTGGATTTTGGATTTCGATTTAACTGCCTTAGGATACCCGTGTCTATTTCCTTCCTTTTTACTGCCCATTCAGCATCTTCAGTAGTTTGTTAACCTGTTCACTCACAGTGGCACTAAAAGAACAACTCAGAATCTGATTGTCATCCGTTGACCATGACTACACCACTGGTTTGGTCATTGGTGGGAGCCCCAAACACGTCTTTACTCCAGGCGGTGTCTGGGTCATCTTCCGGATGGCTCTGTAGATGTTGGACACAGAAACCTGAGTCCTCCTTGTCGATTTGGCTTTCTAAACCTCTTCCTCATGTCCCTGCTGCCCTTTGCTGTGTTTTGATCCTCCAGCCAGCAGTGTTCATTGTGTCCATTAAAATACTTTATCAAAACTTTAGTAAATATAATTTGTAGGTGACTAAAATTAGACTAAAAATAGTTTTTGAGTAGAAAGCTGTGACTAAAATGTCCAGATGATTTTATCTCCTTAAATGTAACTAAATACAAACATGGGAGGAGAAACAAGAAGCAGAGGAATGTGATTAAATGTAATTATAATGAATTATTATCATTATTATGTTATGGAACATAGTCATCTAAATTTACGTACAATTTCAAGTCAACTAAAACTAGATTTACTTGATGTCTCTTGACATAACTGGGTTTTCACCATCCACACCTGCGTCCAGTTATTTGATCTACGATGTTTGTGTTTAGTCATGACTGAGAACCTACATTGTTTCATATAGATGCATATGTTTATTGAAATTGTGGACTCTTGATAGTGCAATTAATATTGCTGGACTACTGACATTAGTACATTTAAGTTTTCCAATTATATAGCGACACAATTGCTCCATAATAATTCAGTGTACTTCTATATTCATCGGTTAAAGAATATGTCAATATGTCGAATATTGCTTTTAAAATGCTAGTTTTCATTGTTGATTTGTTTAATTTTGTAATTATTATAAAATATGCTGAAAATTGGGGGTTCAAAAGTTTTATTATCATTATAATTATGTTTAGTAACATCATCATCATTGTTATAATAATCATTCTTATCATAGATGTTATAATTAAATCCTGTGTATTTTTGGTGAAACAAAGTGCCTGTAGAGTGAACACACGCAACAAAAACAACAAAACTTGGTGGGGACTGCAATACTTATATTGACCTTTAGGGGCCGATACTGAGTCCACACACACAACAAGAACACCTAACCTGGTGAGGACTGCAATAATGTGTGTGACCTCCAGGGGCGCAGGGAAATATACACACCTGACATTTTGTCATGAAAATGGGCCCAAAGGGGACT